GGGTGACATAAAATTAATAAAAAAGTAGAAGATATATAAAGTCCCAAGGTCTAAGCAACTTCAGCTAGAGAAATAATTTATCTTCTGTATTCAAAGACAACCACCATAACATGCTTGCCCTTTAGAGAGCACTAGATTTCTTTTCTAAATCCTTTTCCTTTCATCCAAGATCTTCAAACCACACAATTGTAGGGGGTCTCCTTTCCTAGTAAAATGTGATATCCTAACATTTAAAGTACACATTAAAACTGATGTGTATTAGTGTTCCAGACTGAATTCACTAACTGGAGATACGTTTGCTGCAGAAGTAGGAAAAAGCAGGAGGAGGAAAGTGCAGAAATAAAAGAGTTGCTATGCCAACCTACAAATGCTAATGGCATGACAAATACAAAAAGGTCACAGAGAAAACGAGAAAAAAGGAAGAGAAAATCCAGATCAAAATGTATGTGTATTTCATACAGAAATATGTATTTAAATTCCTTCAAAACTATGCGTTTTAAAAAGAAAAAATGTACCACAGCTGCATGCTTAAAATCACATTGCCTTCTCCTTCTGATTTACTTTTAAAATGCTTAATTATCTATATCCTAAAGACTGTGTTCAAAAAATAAATAAATGAACAAAAATTAGATTTTCCAGAAAGAACACTTGAATATCATGGCCAACATTTTAACACAAAGTAACAAAAAAGTATACTAAAGCAAATAAGTGTGTTAGAACTAGTTCTGTGGTAATCCGATCATGAAACAACAGGTATCTTTTTGAGATAGAATTCTGTAACAAACTCAAACATGTATCATAGAATGGCTTGGCTGAGAAGGGACACTAAAGACCACATAGTTCTAACCCCGTGCAGTGGACAAGGTTGTCACCCACCAACTCTGGCTGCTCAGGGCCCATCCAACATGGCCTTCAGCACCTCCAGGGATGGGGCACCCACAGCTTTTCTGGGCAGCTTAAGTCACTGCCTCACTATTTCCCTCTAAATTCTAACCTACATCTCCCCTCTTTCAGTTTAAAGCCATTCCCCCTTGTCCTATCACTATCAGACTACGCAAAAAGTTGGTCTCTCTCCTGATTATAAGCTCCTTTTAAGTACTGGAAGGCAGCAGTGGGATGCTCCTGGGAGCTTTCTCTTCATCAGGCTGAACAAGCCCAGCTCTCTCAACACATCTTTGTATGAGAGGTACTCCAGCCCTCTGATCACCTTTGCAGGCCTCCTCTGAACCCACTCTAACAGCTCCACATCATTCCTGTGCTGGGGGCTCCAGGCCTGGATGTACTCCAAAAAGGGTCTCATGAGAGTAGAGGGGGACAATCACTTCTCTTTCCCTGCTGGCCATACCTTTTTTGATGCAACCTGAGGTGCTGTACAGTAAGTAGAAATACATGTAGTACAGTTGTTTATATAAAACTCCTGCAATAGAGTAAAAATAAAATAAGTTGCCCTTTAATGTCTATATGTTACTTAAGTGTGGAGTCAAACAGTCATAGCCTTCCTCTTTTCAGCTGCCTGTGGGGACAGGACAAGGGGAAACAGCCGTAAACCGGAGCATAGAAAGTTCTGCGTCAATATTTGAAGGAACTTCTTCACAGTAAGTGTGACAGAGCACTGGAATAGGTGCCCAGAGAGGTTCTCTGGGTTCTCCTTCTCTGGAGATATTCAAGACCTGGGGGGCAGGTGGTTTGGGCTAGATGATCTCTGGAGGTGCCTCCCAGCCCCTACATTTCTGTGATAACAGAAGACAAACCCACCAAAAATACATCTTTCTCACTTGAAATATGGTTACACAATTGTTTGAAATAAAATATCATTTTAAATTATTATTCTTTGTCTTTTTAGTACTCCAAAGGACAATACTAATAGTACGCCAATGATTTTTCCTAAGTCAAATTCATTTCTTCACCACAGCAAAGGCAGCAATACTGGGATTGCACACTGACTATCTACAGACATCAGAACATCCTTAGAAGGCCTATGGGGTAAGAGAGGAGGGTGAGCTCACAACTTACACAAATGAGCTTCAAATTACCCTAACCTATTTATCTTCTTTTTTATTCAAGTAGACAACAAGGAGAATACAGAAAACAGAAATTTTATTGTATAACCTAAGTTTTTTTTTTAGCACAGAATTGCAGATCCAAGAAGTATTTTTTGCGTAAGCTTTGGCAAAACATCCAAAGAGAAATGAACCTTTTGAAGTTAGCCCATTGCTAATTAAAGAACTGCCAAGGCTTCACTAACAATTAAAAACTTGTCTTTAAAATCCCCAATGATTAAACAAAAAAAATGCAAACAGCTGTTTTAATTAGCAAACAGCAGATATTAATTAGCTTCTGTAACAGAGTATGCTGGTCCTTTAAGGACAGAACCAGTTTCAGACCAAGCTTGTTACCCGTTTAAACAATAAATAGAAGATTTGGAGTCATACACTGCAGAAAAAAAAAAAAAAAAAAAAGCTTCTCATTTCTTGTGGAAGTAATATCCTCACTTCAAGTACACAAAAATGATTTTTTTATTTCAAGTAAGTTTTTGAACATACTCATTTTCTGATCTTTCAAGAACTGATGAAGACACATACAGATATTTTAATCAGGGTAGCAAAAGCTGTACCGGGCTGTCTGTGCAGAAGGAACCAAACAGCAACTTTCCACAATCATTTTTACTGGTAAGCTGGTGGGATGGAGGAGAATAGTGTCAGATGAAAACAAACACCAGAGATGTTGAAAAGAGAAAAATCAATCTCTCAAACTCCTCCTGACCATGAGAAAAGCAAGCTGAAGGAACCAGATTATTAACAGAAAACAATTGGTCTTTAGAATATAGAAGGAAGGGAGAGGCTTTTCCTTGGAAGAAAGCACGAAGATAGAAACACTTCCTTGTTTCTATTTACTTGGAAGCAAATAAATTACAAATGCTTACTCAGAAAGATGAAAGTTGAAGGTACATAGCTCTGAAGCTTAGGAGAAACATCCCTTTTACATACTTGAAATACAGTGCTGACTCCCTGAATTGCTAGACTGACTGGTTTTTTTTCCTTCAATGTTATTTTGAAGTCATATTCCAAACTGCTGATTTTTAAAAATTGTCATGCTTTTATATTCATACTTAGTAACAGGCAAAATTTCAAACTCTGTGGGTTTTCTGACTCCGCAACATTTGAGAAAACTAGCTTTGCTACCTGAATGAAAAAGTTGAAAGGTAACTTAATGCAAAATTTATTATTTTTTGTTAATTAGACTTTTAAGTACTTAACTTAGTTTGGGTCTTTTGCACCCAGCATATTATTTTAAAAAGTGAAAAAATCACAGCAGGAGTTAGATAATCACTGCCCGTACAAAATGTATCACGGAAACAATTAATTTGCTGGATTCTGATCAATGAAAGGCATTTTAAATAAAAACAAATATTAATTTGTAAATGTAAGGAGGAGAACAATAAAACTTTATCATAAAATATGGAGATACCTATCATTGCACTGCAAAGCAAAACTTTGAATTTGTCTCTGTAATCTCAGATAGATTCACACCTAAACAAATCTAGCTAACCAGGGATCCATATCCCTATTTCATTTATTTTTTTCATTACATATTTCATTACATATTTTAATAACTTAGCTCTGCCTGCTAAGTGGTTTCTGAATAAATTTGTGTCTATACTATAAGTATTTCAGCTTGTCAAAAACACAGTGAGAACATCATATCCCGTTTCCCTCTGCCATGACTACTTTGAAGTGGTACAGGAAAAAAAAAAAAACACCAACACTGTACTATATAAGGCTCTTTAGAGTAAAAGTATGAACATCATAGAAATTAAGTGATGTTAACTGATATCGGGATATAACTTCAACTGTGCGCATGCTTGTGATGCTTACTGCTTTCTCTTCAAATTAATATTACTTTATCTACCAGTCAAGCTGTTAGAGACCAGTACTACTTTTTCGGCACAGCAGAACATGTCACAGCAGAACTGCTGTTAAAATATTTCAGTCTGTTCCATTTATTAAGGTACTGCACATTTGGATTCAGGTTTTATTATCTATTTTACTAGTGATGATAGCATGCACAAAATTCAAATATTTTTTCTGTTCAAGCATTGTTTATAGGGGCTCCACTCTGTACACGCAGAGTGTTCAAAAGGGTTCAGTGAAATAAAGATATTCCTGAAGGTGAATCTTCTCTGAAAATGCTTTTCAATGATATTTGATTTGTTGAAGTGACCACACCTAATTGGCCTCAAGCTCAACTAGGATCTTGTTCTTTACCAACACTTCCGATATTACAGAAACAATCCTGAATTTTTACTTCAAAATGAAACTATATCAATTAAAGCAATTATTTTTCTATTCCCCAATGATAATACCCTATATCCAAAAAGGCCTATAAAACTTCCACTGTCAAGCTATACAAATGCAGTCCTGCTAAAATCTTGTAATTAAGAACAAATTGATTATGATAAAAGCACTGCAGAGAGGCACCTAACAATTCTGAATCCACTCACTGAGTTCTCACGGAGTTACTGCCATTTGGATTAAAATGAAGGAGTCACATCAAATTTTTAGATAGGTCAATATTTCAATTTGGAAAAAAAAAAAATGACAGAAGTATGATATAAAATATTATAAAGCACCAATACTATGTTATAATAAGAGGCCATTGAGTTGCACTTGATTAAATAAAAATGTGAATAAAAAACTAAAGCTGATTTTTAAATTATTATTATTAAATGATTTCCAGGTTTCATTTGAATAGCTTTCCAAAATTCCAATATTTTATTTTACTTAAATTACAGTACACATCTCCAGTAAATACTACTTCTATATCCCAGAATCATGCCTAATTCAACAGCTCCCACATATTCACAACAATTGAAAACTTATCCTGCTGCTCACTAGTTGCATTCCTTTCAAAGATTTCACCATTTATGGAAAAAAAAAAAAAAAAAAAAAAACAACCAACAACAACAAAAACAACAAACAGTGTTAAGAGATGGTACTTACGAGTACTTAGTCAGCAGGTCCAAATCATTATGCATGTTGATTGGATATGTCTCACTGAGATGAAATAGCTTCTCTAAGGCCTCATAAATGAAAATTATGCAGATAAGAGAAGCAAAAGCTTCTTCAGTAAACCGGGTAATGTAACAGACCAGGGAGCTTGCATCAGTTGCAACAAGGATGATGCACAGGATTGCAGTCCACAGACCAATGCTAGCTCTCAGGGAAAGATATGATAACCCATACTCTCTAAAGAAAAAATAAACAAACAATACAGTTAATCATTTGTCCAGCCACAGTTTCCTAGATGAAGAAGCAACTCCAAAATAGGTTTTGTATAAGAATGAGCAATTTTGGGAACAGTTTAGCTCTTCAGAAAGAGGATAAGAAGCAGGGAGGGAGGCAGAAAGTGGAATCAACTCTTCAATTTTCCTGCATGATCAACAATTCACTTGTTTCTGTCAAAACAATTTTCAGACTAAGCAGTTCACTTGAAAACAACCCCCTGATCTTATTTTCCAGATGCTGGAATTCATTGTTCAATGTTTTTAATTTCACCTAACAAGACTTCAGTAGTTATGCATATTAGATCTCACTCACCTCAAACATCAGTTGGTACATAAATAAATCAATGAAGTCTTAACCTTGCTTAGGAAGATTCTATAAATGTCACTGGCAAACTACTACATCTTATAATATGTTAGAAATTTTATATAGTTCTACGTCACTTACTTGCAAAATTTGAATAAAATCTTCTCAAACACTAGAACTGGTCCTGTACTGCCAAGTATAGTGAGAGGCTGTCCACCAAAGAGAGAGTAGGCAATTCCAGTCATGGACGCTCCAAACAACGATTCTATCGCACTCTGAATATGAAACAGAGAGAGAAGTGTGTATAAATTTTCCAACTGGTTCTTTTTTGCAACATAATGATTTGTAGACTTCTAAATAATGAAACAAATATATTTTAAATATATAAAACATAAAAATAGATTTTAATATATATTTATCCGCTTGGAACAGTAAAAAAAAAAAAATACTAACCATAAATCTAGCAACGTAAGTTTGTTTTAAAAAATTCAGATTTAACACATACTATACGACCTTCAGTAGCTTCTCCCAGTAGACCACCGAATGTGATGACAGGAGACATGCAAGCACAGTAGAGAAACAAAAATGATGCCAGACACTGTAGACTGAGAGCATCCCTGAAGTCACTCCAGAAGAATGGAGCCTTTCTTTTTATATCTAAAATCAATCCACCAAAAAATCTAAAAATAAAAGAAAAAATTTATGAAGAATGCTTACTGAACTTTCTTCCACAGTATTCCTTAGTAGCTGCAGAGAAACTACTCTTCCTTAATCAAATGAAACATACCCTTATAATTCATCCTTCCACAGAATAAAGTTTCTGGGAACTCTGTCCTGATAACCTTAATCAGAAAATTGTTTTGAAACAAAAGAATTTTCATGTTTCTTATTTAAAAGCTTCATCACACAGGCCCAAAACTTTTGAACAGTTGTTAGCTCCCATGCATAAAGCCCCAGTATTTTTGTGAAATAATTCTTTTTGTTTTATCAGAAAGCTACTATACTGCACGCTTGCCTACATTCCCATATATAGAGCACATTATATTCCTTGCAAAACTCTTCCTAAATACATCTGACAATAGGATGAAATCCAGGCTAGAAATTTTCATGGACAAGAACTCATATCTTGTCATTTACATTACGCTAAATATAATAAAAAACTTAGAATCAGGCATTCCTTTACAATACATAATTAAGTTACAGCAAATGTCCCACAGCGCTCTTTTTCTCAAATGTATCTGATGTACCAGACAGCTCTGAGGTAGAGGAGACAGCGCTACCACCTTCTAAACATAAATGATCCTTCAAGCAACCAACACCAGGTTCACCAGCAAAAGTAAAATTTACAGACTGGCTGGCCATTACCGACTTCTACTACACTGTGAACAGCAACACAGGAATAATAGTTAATTATCAAGAGGCAGCAAAGTAACAAAATTGCCTGGCACACAGCTACCAGCATGATAATACTGCTCTAACGCAGACACTGACTGCTTGTGGGCTTACTTCACAATATATTAAGAAAGTATGTATTGTCTTATTTGGGACAAATCCTTCCTTCAGATGCACGTATACTGCAGCCACCACAGTAACCACAGTCTCTTGTACCAGGGCATATCATGGCTTACTGAGGCAAAAAAAGAAATGATGGAGCTTCACAACACGGTAACTTCAACGATAAAATATCTGTTAGAATTCGTAATATGTGACAAGCCTATTACCAACTTTTTCTTCATACAAAAATAGAAAATAATGTTAATTGAGTTCAATAGTGATCTGACCTCTATAAATAATAGAGTAAGGAGATTTCTGTAATTATATTGTGAATACTCAATTTTTTTCGCCCTCTTCTTTTCTGAAGAAATTCAGAAGTACTATCCTTTTCAGCTTTATAGTAGGGCAACATCTGGGACACTTATGATTCTGAATATGTTTTCACTAACTTTCCAGTGCGTTGCAATTCTGGTCCAGAGTGTCCTCCAGGATGTTCTGGTTCCCCATGAGCTGCAGTCCCATTTGGTACTCCTGGAATCTTACGTTTTTCCTATCAGGAAGAAAAGATACTTTTCTTAGATTTTCACAACCAAACACAAACCTAGCGAAAAAAATCAGACTTCAAAACTTGAAAGACCGAACATTTAAATTTTATTGTAAGATTCATCAGCATAACCTCTTCATAAGCAGTAGAGGAGCTGCGTAACCAGAAGAAGTAGAAGTAACTGTGATGTAAGAAATTTAAAGAATTCATCTCAGAAAAATCTTGTTATCAGAAAGCATTTTTAAAGAGCAGCATGCCAAGCTGCTTTGATCATTTCTTGCTCTTATCAGGCCATTGTATTCTGACTTCACTGGAAACTTTGCATAATGAGCAGCAGAAAAGAATAATGAATAACAAATTATACGTTATATGGCTAAAAGTGCATGACATTATTCAAAATAGATTACAACTATCAAAGAATAGAAGAATAGATACTGATTGAAAGAGCTTCGTCAATAGCCACCATTCAGTAACAGCCTGCACTCAGTACTTAGATACAATCGTGTAATATTATAAAACTGCCAACAAGAAAAAAAAAAAAGAATTCATATTTTTCCACAATATTTTCTTCTTCTAAGTCATCTTCAGAGAAAAACTAAGCACCTCTAGAAGGATACACAATAGAATATTTGGGATTTAAGCTTTTCTTTGTTTCAGAAAACAAAGATACAGCAATAAGTTTAGAATAAAAGCAAACTACAGCTGTTTGTAATAATCAAACATGCTTATTACCAATTAACCTTGAATTTAAGATCTTTAGATCCATCTGTCTTTATTCAGGAGAGAAATAGTTTTGAACTATGCTGATTGTCATCACTATACTATGTTTTCAAGACAATTTTCTTAAAGTGAAGTAGCAGACAGAAAAAAACATACAATATTTCCATACAGCGACTTTGCTAAATGTTAACTTATTTAGACTTAATTCTTCTTAGCAAAACTTCATCACAATCTTTAAAAGCACCTGAATTTTACAAGCACAAACCTGAGAGGGAACGTTTTTAGGTGGTTCTATTCGGATTGTTGGATCCCATTCTCCAGGAGGGAGAACTGTAACCTGATCAAGAAACTCATCAATTCCAGACACCAAGTCATTGCGGTCTTTTGCTTTGTAAGCAACGTCATGGAACACCTATGAAAAGCAAAGAGGCATATGTGAAAGGAAAAAGAGATGAAACACTCCAAATATTTCACAGTGGCCCCTTCTCAGTGAAGATGTCCTTGTACGTTAGGCTCAGCTCTCATTTTATCATCTCCTGGCAGCATAATCTGAGCAGTTATAGAATTCAAGTTTTTTTTCCACCATTGTATCTGTGCATCAATTTAACTGGGCAGTTCCACATTCCAAGTTCTCTATTGTATTATCTCCTTCAGTCATTACAAAATGACTAAAGCCAAATCAAGAATAAAATTACCTCATCTGTCATCAGCGTTGCAATTGATCTTCCAATCTCATGATATTGTTGCCCTTTACCCAATGGCCCAAGAAGAATAAACAAAAATCTGAAAGAAGAAGTTAAATGAAAATATGTAAAAGGAAGGTGTATGCTAGTTACTATACATACTACCAAAATAACTATTTGAAAATTGGACAATAAAAAAATCCCAGATCAAGTACTGTGTATAATATTCCTTCAAGATCCTCAGATAAACATTTAAACATGAAGCTCTGGTTAGAAAGTACATCTAAACAACTTGTGGAAATATATCCTAAGTTTCACAATTAGACTTCTGATTAAGACTAAGACTATCAAAACCCCCTTACGTAACAAACCTTATCTTACATAATAAACATATGCAGATATACACTACATACAGAAAACATTAACGTTAATTCTGTTAATGTCATGGAACTAATGACTTTATGGTAGTTACAGAAGTATTATTTCTTTTTTTCTGATTTTGAAGTTACCTCTGAATGAAAATATTTTTCAATTCATCTTTCCTCCCAGTAAGAAGACTCTAACCTCTACTCTGCATTCTTTAAAATGCACAGGATGGGTTCATCAGATGAAATAACTGTAGTTTCCAGGTTTGTAAAAATGCAAAAACAACTTTTTACTAATGAAAATTATTATTTCTAAACCAAGTATTTTGCAAAAAATATTAATTATCCTAATTTTTAATTTCTTAATTTTCTCTAGGCCAAAAATCAAGACATCTGTCTTCATTGTCATGGGTTTCTTTGTGGGAGAGGTTATGCAGAAAAAAGCTCCTGTTATTTTAAAAATTTAACTCAGTATCTCAATAACTTTTATACATGTGTACAAGTAAAAGACCTAAAGTCACATTCAAAAAAATTAAAAATTAAAGCAAATTTTATACTATTTATCTGACTGTGAGCAACAATCAGAGTCTGAGCTTTTCATCTCCTAGATGAAGGCCATAAATAACCGCAATGCAGTGTTGTCTTCTGATGAAATTCTATTTTTATAAAAACAGGGAAAGATAAGAGGAGAAACAGAATACATGTGCTCAAAGCCAAGCCAACAACAAAGTTGAGAGGCTGCATAATAGTTAAGCCAGTGAATTTAGATATGGGAGAATAGAGCTTTGATCCAAATTAGCCCCAACAGACAACAACAAAGATCTTAGAAGCTTAATATTTGGCTACAAAGTATATTTTAGACATTAAAACGAGTCTTCATAAATTGTCCTCAATGCCAAAATAGTCATGAGAAAAAATTTCATCTAAGAAAAATATAATCTAATAAAAATTTATGGTCAAAAGTTACATTTCCTTTCATGCAAGTATCTACAGAGTTTTAGGGATGCATATTCACAGCATGTTCTTTATCCATTAACAATCCCTAGCCAATTAAACCATATAGTTTGAATTTTTCCTTTTAAACACCCCATTTTTTTTCCACCATATTTTTCTTCTGGACTTAATTCTGCAGTATCACAAGATTTATTTTAGTTCCAGATTAAAGTTCTACCACTTTGCTGCTTTTTCCTAGTATTTCATCTATAGAATTGAGAGTTTGTAAATTATTAACCCCATGTTGTAAACTGACAAACTGTATTTTCTACTTCCACAAAGAATAAATCTAATCACACATTAACAGCATGTGTCAGAAGATGCATACACATATTTATGTGTGTTTCTGAATATACATAATTAAACTGCAAGTAGAAAGATGTCCTTAACTAATGGTGAGATGAAATTTGCTGAAGATCACAACACGTGCCTCCAACAGGTACTTAGGAAAACATGAAAAGAAACAAATCTAACAGTACCTAGTTGGAATCGGAACTTCAGCTAGTCCTGTAAGCAGCACTGCAGGCGATAACCTAACAAAAGCAACAACTGCACGGTCCAGGAATTCCAGCTCACCAACTAAGATGTTTGATGCTTCAGCTCCAGGTGGTATCTTTTTCATGAAATGTAAGTCAACCTGGGAAAAAGATATCAAATTATCCTATGAGTTACAGATAAGGATTTCTGTTTCCCCCCATTTTGGTCACTTGCTGCATTATATATTTTAATTTTTACAATAATTTTAATTCTTCAGCTTTTACTTCTGTCTTTTGAAAAAGCAATATTTTCAAAAATAAAGGTGTTTCTCAAAAAGAGAAAATGATCTTTCAGTATTTGACTAACATTATCTTAAAAACATAGCTAAAATACTCCAGAAATCATTTATAATGAAAAAAAAAAAGAAAGCACCACAGTCTTGTTAGGCATATAATATTAATCTCCTATTTAATAATTTTATAAAAATCATAGCAGCATCAACATTCATAACATAATTAATTGCAGTAGAAGAAATGAAGACATCTAATTTTTGCATAATTAATAATTGTTAAACTCATTAATTCATGGTTCATAGTTGCCATATTACATTTTCTCTGTGAGAAAAAAAAGAACAGGCTCCACTACCCCAAATCCCCCCTTCCACTACTCTGTAGTTTTCATATTTAACGGAATACACTTTTCTTCTACTGAAAACAACAGAAAAGCTAGGACCATAATTGTCTCAAAGGAGTAAGCTGAAAGAGCAAAGCAGAAGAAAAACTTTGGAGTTTTAAGTCTCTGATGTTGACTTCTCCAGGGGAAGGGTAGGAAGAGACAAAAAAGCAGCTTCATAATGACATTACTATGTCAGCTCTAGGTATTTGCTTAGGAATGAGCTCATTTGTATTTACTTTTCTCAGTGTCAGTTGACAGTTTGTAACAAAAATTGACATGGAGAAATAGAGTATATAATGTATGTTTGATTTCATTATACACCAGTATTGTCTACATTTCAAAATACATGAATTTTGTCATTTGCTTTCCTTTTATTAATCTAAACACAACAACAGCAACCAAATCCAACATAAACTGTTAAAGTGGACCATTTTAATGTCTATCTTCCAACCATCTGTCAGTACTAGCATGCATGGGTTTTGGTAATATTTAGAAAATTGCTTTCTCGCAAATGGCTCTGGCACTAAATCAGAATTCAGATATGATCAAGTTGCCTGTATCTGAAATTGAATTTCTCTAAGATCATAAAGAGGTGCCTAACGCTACCCCTGAGCTAATCAAGTGTGGTGACCAACACCTCACAAAGTCTAACCGCCATCAAATCAACCTGAGAGGTTGGAGTGCAAGTACTTTTTAAAACTACTTGTGAGATAAATTCTTCTGTTGCCCACTCAAACCATAAAATAACTCTTTAGACTTGAATACAATACATAAACAAATTCATTCTGCATCTAATTTTGGCAACTTACGTCAATTATAGTTGAGATAAATAAAATAATCTTTCAGGCACACATAACAATGTGCATTCTACAAATTTAATAACCTAATGTCTCATATACCACATGCTACAGCTGTCACTTTAAGGTCCACTAACATACAGACCAAAGGACCAAGATTCACATCTTTCAGATATACTCTCTTATCTACCAGCAAGTATTTCGAGACAAGTTTCCTGTTAATTGATCAGCTTGAGATTCTAAAATCTATATGCTATTGAACAGAGACCCAAAAGCTGCAACAAATGACCAAAAACATGCAAAACTGAGGTGCTGTTTCTGTTACCTAATAAAAGCAGAGGTAGCCCTGCAGTGCATCTGGGGCAATGGCAAAAGTTACATCCTTCAAATGCTTCACCTAATCTATCCACCATGCTCCATCATACATTTCTTATTACAAGAAGTCTTTAGTTGGATAGTCCTCATCACATCTTAGTCTTAACCCCAAATTGATGCATATTCATGATGTGGCATTTAATAGCCCCAGAAGGCTTCAATTAAGCGCATAAGTAAATGACTAATGTGGAGTTTGCTCCCCTGCAGGGAACCTCAACTCAATGACTGAAGGAGGAGGGGGAGGGCTCCCAGGAACCAAACACAACTTGAAATGAAGACAAACAGAAAAAAACCAACATCAGTCCTCAGGAAAGCCTTGATCTGTATTAATCAAATTTACTTATAAACAGAGTCATGAAGCATTCAAGAACAAACTGATTGTTTTACGTGATATTTGGAAAAAAAAAAAAAAAAAAATTTAAGCTACATTAAGTATAGGGACACCGTTTTGATTCAGAAATACCATTTACACATGGAGCACAGAAATGTTGCCAAAACAGGCTGCAGTCCCTTAATGCATTACATATTTCAGGACACTTGAGGATCACTTCAGCCTCCAGGGCAAGCAGCAGTATAAGAGCTCAGCCAGAAACAGTTGTTACACTGCCATCCCCACCCTGCTCGCTGGCTCAGCTCGAAGTAGAGGAGTGACAGACTATTTCAACCACTTTCATTGGGTCCTGAGAATACAAAGTATTCCCAGAGAAAGAGTGACACATTTACAACTACAAACATCCCTCTTCAGGCTACAGAAGTAACACTCAAGACAGCTTATAGTGATGTGCCCTCATGTTATTCATAAATAGATACTAATACAATCAGCAATATTGGTGCCATATTCAGATTAAGTCAGCTTTTTGAATCAACTCCAAAGTTCAGAACATTAGAAGCAGCTCAAGGGAGATAGATTAGCAAAGATAAAATACACAAAGAAGTTAAAATTGTCTTTTTGGAGAAGATAAATGACATTAGTATGTGGAACAAAATTAGAGCAAGAAATCACAATACTCAAGAGAAAATTAGTGTACTGCTCTACTTTTCTCTCAATCTGTGCACACAATTCCAATTATAACCACTGGGAGTTATGTGCAATAGCACCTTTCAAGTGGAAATTGTACTTTACGTATGCATCTTCAAAGTGATAAATAGACGTATTTAAAGACAGTTAAAAAAAAAAAAAAAAAAAAAAAAGAAGAAGAAAAGAAAAAAAAGAAAGAAAAAAAAAAAAAGGTATTTAGATTAGAAGTCTCTCAATTCATTTCAGCTAACAGAAGATGTTTCTTTCATATCCTGACATCCTTGCCGCTATCCAACGCTGCTGAACCTAGCCAAAGATGACATGTTGATTTCTTCTCATGTAATTTAACTAGGAAGGGCTCCAGCACTACACAACTAGAGATTGAAGAGACTAAAGGATGAGTTGTTGCAGCCTCCGTTCTAGTTTAATACAAAGAAAAAGAAGGAGGAAAAACTTGCAGCTAGATAATGGATTGGGATTTGAGCCTGCAAAACTCAAAGAAATAGTGAAAATAAGCAAGAAAAGCACAACTGAAAGTCACATAATCTCCTCTAGGCTGTTACAAGCTTCAACTCAGTATGGTTTAATTTTGAATAGCCAGATTTATTTATGTTTAGCACCATTACCTTGATTCTAGAACAATTGGCAGACCAGTTATTTTCAGTTAACAATTCTATTAATACCAGCAAACCAAAATCACATATGATTTTCTGTATTCTTAATTTAAAACATTTTTAAAGGTTAGTCTGCAACTTTTTATCATGTCTCAGTTTATAGTCCTTGCTACCTCTGAAGAGCTATGGTCCACAATACATCCCCAACCCTCTTCCTTTCTTCTCACTATCTTTGACAATAAGATCTGTTTCCCATCTTCATCTCAGCCATATATCATTTCTAGTCTGGCATGTTCAGTCAAGAATTCAACTGGTGCAAATAGCTACTGCTGCTAGGAAATATCTCTGGCACCAGATGGAGCAGTCACATAACTCTACTTTTAGCTCAGTTGTACTAACATTAAGATTCAACAGATTCAAAAGTGCTGCTTTTCAGAATATTGGTTTAAATTACCTTTCTTCACTTACTCAACCTTTGTTGTATTAATGCGTCAGCTGAAGCCACTTATTCCTCTCAGGTCTGTCATCTGCATCTAATGTGACAGTTTGTTTTAGATACATACAAACTTCTTAAATTAAGATTCTCCTTTACGTTAAAGCTGAGAAGCTGAATGCTTTTCTTTGCTATTTAACATTGAACTGTCATTGCAATCTCCACTATTGAACAGCTAACATCTTTTGTGATGCGTACTGAAATATCTTGGCTTGCCAGAAGTATTAAGTTATAGGTTTACAGAAACACATTCTGTTTCAGACATCAGGAATCCACAAGTTCAGGTTATAAAAAACACAGTTTACATTCATGTTTTACTTCTACAAAGAGTAGAAATCTGAAAGGTAAATTCAAATTACAAGAATTCTCAATTATCTTTCTACTGAGGCAATTTTTTGTTCATTGGTAAAAACTTCCCCTCCAGCTATACACCTACTATACTTTGGTCTAACAAATGAATATCCACATTCTTACACTGTCATTTCTTACTACCAGTAATTTACCAGGAAAATGAGGAAATTTTTTTGTTGTTGTTACATATAAACATTATTGCAGCACTTGAAAATTTTTAATGTTCAAGTAAAAAAGTGCATTTCATGGCTTTTCCTAACTCACATAGATTCAATGTATTTAGAAGACCTGTTTGGTAATCATGAAGTTCCATTTGCCACCATTGAACATACTTACCTTGCTAAAGTCAACAGTGCTATTTTCTCTGCTCACATCATTTTTGTTCTCAACACAGGCTGGAGCAGATTGTGGGGAAACAATCTGACCTGCTAAAAAAAATACCATTACAGAATACTAACATTCACTTCTATAAATAAAGCAAGATTCAGTGAAACAGTTGCTAGAATTAAAGAGTGACATCCATTCCATATCAAGTGTATATGAAACATCTAAACATGATGTTTATTTAAATACTTATTTAGAGTAACATTCTCAAAAGGGAATATTTACCACATGCAGCTAAGAGTGGGAGAACATAACTCAGAAAATCTAAGATCATAGAATCATAGAATCACAAGGTTGGAAACAACCTATAAGATCATCTAGCCCAACCGTCTCCTCATCACCATTGCCACCACAAGCACTAAACCATGTCACACAGATACTGAAGATAAGCTTTCTGTGTCAATTAAAGCTTTTTGTTTCTCGAGGTACTATACTTGAATAAAGTCCTGCATTCATATAGTTTTGCTTTGCTGTCTGTTGTTTTTTTGGTTTGTTTTTTTGTTTTTTGTTTTTTTTTTTAAACTACTCTGAAGAGTTGCCAATTTGGGGCAATATCTCTGCTAGATTACTCCTTACTGAATAAAACAGGAGTATTAATATCCATATATTTACTCATATGTATAACAACATTCTGATTAGATAAATATTACAAAACCTAGCATAAGAGTGGGCTAATATAAGAAAGACATTTTGGAAATTAAGATGATTTCATCTCAGTATTGAACACTGAACTTGGCATATATAGAACAAATGTTTCGGCGAACACATTTTCAAAAATTCTTGCAAGGATTTAGTACAGTACTTTACAGAATCTTTATAAAATATCTCAATATAACAAGTGTTTAAGCACACCTCAATCTCATGTAAGCCAACTGTAACTCTTGTGACCAACTAAATTTTGACAGCAAAAGCTCAAAAAGAAAAACAATATTAAGCAACAACTTAAAATATATTTTACTTTATACAATGCCAGCATTACTCCCATGCACAGCCAGAGGTCACGCACACTGTGATGCAGGCAGTAGAGCAGCAACACATACTAGCTGGGTTGATGAGCCTCTCTGCCTTTACTCTTAATGCTCTCCCTGGCATGGCAGGGCCTGCTTATAGCCCTGAACGCCAAAACAAATCAACAGGAAAAAGTACTGCTGTAGCACATACTCAGGAATAACTGTAGAGTCCAACTGGCCAACAATCAATACCTTGTGCCCAGCATACATTTGTATCCATAGCAAATAAAGTCTCTCATATGACTAAGAATTTATGATGCAAAAACACTGGTTCTGGCAAAAATCAATCCAAACTTGAGTACTAACAAAGACCATATGTTCAAGACATATGACTACAAAGACAATCCTAAGCTAGGCACATTGTTTGAGCAAATCAAAAAGCCATCGTGTACCCTCAGCATCTTTGTTACATCCATTTGTAGTCCAAGCATGTCCTCAGCCACAGTCAGGAAACAGAACACTTTGTAGGATGCAAACTGAACAGGACAACAGACTTGCAAGAGAAACTCAGCTGTGGTCAGAAAACTACAGCATTCAGCTTCTGTGAAAACTGAGCAGTTCAATATCCCTCTCTAACTCTGGCCACAAATGTTCAGTATAAACACTTGCTGACAAAAAGGCTGGTTTTCATCAAAATCAACATTTCATTTCCCACTAAGCGAAAGTCTCATACCATAAATCAGTTTTTAGATTTGTGAAGCATACTGATAGATTAGCAAGAGAGGTTTCACTTTTAGGAAGCATAGGCACAGAATGTTTCAAAAATCATTCATAAAAATCTTATTAAATGTAAATATTTCAATTTTATCTCAGATTCAGAACAAAGATAAAAATAAAAACAGAAATAAGGGCTTTTTCCTAGGACTCCAGTGAAATAAACAGAAAACAACAGAAAAACAGACATGACTATTATGTTACTTAACTAAGCAGTTAAAAATATCAGAATTTTTATATGACAGGAATTCTGGATTAATTTCAGAACAACATATTATTGTAACTTCAAGGAATGTATGTTAAAATAATGTTAAAACTATTAATTCCTAAATATAACATGGGACAACTTCCTCAAATTGGAAGCCATCAATTACTAAATGTGCAAGATTCTTATAAATGGCCATTCAACTTCTCTGTTTTAATCAGAACTTAAAGTGTCACTATCATAGTTCCATCATCACCTTAACACTAAGTATACCCATACACTACTTAATGCCATTATTTTATCTCTATTAAGTTTATGTAGTTTTATAAGAAAGATCCTCTAGCATTCTAACTATTAAAATAATTTCTATATTAATATGGGATCTGCAGTATTTTGATAGTTTTAATAATGTAACAGAAAAATAAAAAAATCTTTAAATAGTCCTAAAATAGAAGCCATAAAATTTACAGGGAATATTTCTACCAGGAAGTCTTAAGTTTACTTAACTTTTACTTTCTTCCTTTTAGAGAGTCCTCCTTATTCTAAGATCTATACCAAAGGAAATATTTGTAATAATCACTCATACTAACATCCACATAATGTTATAGAGATTTTGTGCACAGGAAAGCATAAGAAATAGTAATTATGATCATTTTGTTGCTAATTAGGGATTTACATTTATGGTTTTTCTGGAACCACACTTTCAAAAAAAAAAAAAAAAAAATGAGAACATGAATACCTACATGGGAGAAAATAACTCTGACCATTGGAACATGGATCATTTGTTATAAATACTGAAGTTTTAACACCATAAGTTTTACAATCATAATTTGAACTGTGAAAATTCCCCTAAGCAGTTACCTTAATAGTCCAAAATGCTAACTTTTAAATGTCGTGTTCACATTTTTTTTTTTGGGGGGGGGGGGGGGCGGGGGAGGGCAGGGACTAAAGGAATACATGGTAGGAAATAAAAGTCACAAACAGCAAGTGTGTGAAGTTTATAAGAATAACATATGTTCTTTTTCTGTGCCAACAGAAGACCTTAGACTTTGATTTTCCCATATGCTGGACTACAACACAACTTTTACCTTGAGGCAGTAAGAGATGTTTAAATAACTGTAACTTCAGACAGCTTTCTGGATTTCGGAACAACGAAGGCTTTTGTTTCTGTTTTTAATTTCACTGGATTGAATAGCAATCAAAAAGATACAAGGTAGAGAAGATAGCTAATTTCACTTTTTGTTATCCATACAATAATATGCTGCAGAAACATGTTTGTTATGAAACAATACAATCTACAAAATAAGAACCTGCAACCTGATCTCCATGTGGTCCTCCCAGAGAAAGTAAGATAAAAAGCAACTGTTATCTGGAGAGATTTTTACTCCCACACATGTGTAGTTTACTAAACACCCATGTATTTTACACTTTAAATGTGTAGATACTGTGCTATGGTGCCTCTCTCCAGGCAAAAATGTCTGAAAGACCAGACTGTTTTCATACCTGGTAGCTTCCTCTGTTCCAGACCTACGAAGCCACAAAGGTAGCCTGAACTTTGTGTAAAATTTCATGTTGACTTAATGGAGACTTCTTTGAGGTGAATAAGAAAATATCAATGGAGTAGGTCGAGAATTATACTGATGGCTGCCTAGTGAACACATACATCACCATGTTACACTGGTTTTTCCATTCATTGTTCAGTTTGCTAATGCATATTGGCCAGTACACATGTGCTTTATCCTCAAGTGCATTTTAATTTCAGCAGCCGGTTGTTTTCTTTGAGTGAAGGACACAATTATCAACACTATAATGACCCCAGGTAACATCAGATAGTTGAAGAGCTAGGCAAATGAAGGGGGGAGCTGTCACACAACACCTGGACTGAAAAAAAAAAGAAAAAAAAAGAACAATACACATTTCTTTCCTGATTTCTACTAAAACCTCAACAGTCACCACTGCATCAAATCATCTCTGAAATACAACTACACTGTTTAAGTTTTCTCCAAATTTTACTTTTATAATATCCAAACATATCCAAATGTTCAAATGAACATCTGAAGCACTATGTCCAAAACAAATAAATACACAAACAACTATCATCTAACTCTAACCAGGCTTTAAATATCTTCTTTGAAGACACAATTCTGAGCTTCACCTAACAAAGACATTCATATCTTCTGATTTTAAGGCAACCTTGAAATTCAGTGAGGTCATAACTGAAATGGTATAGTGATTCTTCAAATTGGCAGTATGCGCACTAAGCTGGCAAGAATGATGAAGACATAATCCACCAATTTCTTAAGAGAGGGCACAAAGGTAGCAACATCCCTCCTGTTCTGTTCTTCCTTATTCCGCCCTCGACAGTTCTATTTTAACCCTCTCAAGCAAAATTTTTATTCATGTATTTTATGGCATAAATATTGTTTTGTTTTAAAGTCTAATGTAATAGTTGGAGTACTTATAAAATCTGAAGTTTAAAAGCCGTGATTTATCCTGCATATTCATCTACATGAATGAAGTCACTTTCTTTGAGATGTCATCAGAAAGTTATTCAGATTTTCGAAGTAGCAGACAAATGTATTATCATTGAAATATCCAGCCTACACAAAAAAGAACTTAATATCTAACAGGTAAATTGGTACTGAAATGAGTGCTAAGGTTTATCTATGTATTAAAATGTCAGTATCAACAGTTTTAATTTTTTTTATTTTTTTTTAAATTGGTATGAAGTGTTGGACTTTTTATCCAGATAATTTGAACTTGCCAGAGCTTTCACTAGAGCCAAAACTCACACAAAGCAATTATGTCATGCAAAGCCACGCCATGTAAAACCAGTCAACGTTAAGGTCTGTATTTGTTACACTAATGGATATCTGCATTTGCAGATTCAGAACTTCACATTTTGAGATGATGATTAGTCTTGTCAAATAAAAAAATTACAGTAAATTAAGTTCACATACAATATACTTTTAGTCTCTAAAATTTAAAGCTTTAGACATTAAACTATGAATATTGTATTTTTTTAGTTAAAATACAAGAGGTCTCTAGAATGCAAAATGACAAATACCAAGTACAATCTATTCAGATTAAAAAAAAAAAATCACAGTTAATG